GTGAGCCTGATTTCTAAGCAGCCAGGGCTCCCTTCCTTCTCACCCCTGCCCCTTCAGGGCCGAAGAGGGGATTCCTGCATAAGCAGGCAGAGCCCATGGGAGACCCCTCCGGCTGGAGACCACTGAGCTTATGTGTTTCCATTTTAACACAACGAATGCTTCAGCACGTCTCTGGAACGGGGTTCTGGGAAGTGGGAACCCCCACTCCTCCCTACACAGTCATGTTATGTGGGATATCCCTTCTTCCCCTGTGCTGGCAGATGCCTTACTGCAGATGGCCTGGCTGTCCCCAGCAGGACATGGTGGGCGCCTGAGCTCAAGGAGGCTGAGGCTGAGCCACAAGGTGCTTAGTGGCCCTGCAGGAGGGAAACGGACCATGTTGAGGATGGAGGCAGCGGGACTCTCCTTTGCAGCCAAAAGGATCACAGGACACGCAGGAGGAGGTGCCAGAGTAGGGCAGACAGAAGGAGGGACAGGAGCAGGGAGACAGGATTTGGGGACAGAGGGAGTTAGGCAGAGGGGGAATGGGGAAGAGGGAGGGAGAGACGAAGGGAGAGAGTTGGAGACGAAAGATGTGGAGGCAGAGAAAGAAAACGAGAAAGACACAGAGACATACACACAGACAGACAGAGAGAAAATACGCCCAGGGACAGAACCACACACAGGAAAAAAGACATAGACAGGGAGACAACGAGAGACCCAGAGAAAGACGCGCACAGAGATGGCTCAGAGGAGTGTGTGTGGAATGGGGGAGCAGTGGGAGGAACGTGGAATACAAGTGCCCACCTCTGGCCAAACTGCTGGCGGGCTAATCCACTTCCCTTCTCCCCACCAACAGGGATGAGATTTGCCCCTGACTAAACTGTGCATGGACATTTAGAATTGGTTCTGGCCACCCAGGATTTGAACTTGGGCTCGGGAACCCTGTGTGGAGGCAGAGGCTACCTCCCCCCCGCACCCCTTAGAGCCGAAACGCCAGATCCTCGCCTTCCCAGGCTGCCTTGCAGCCAGAGCTTGGGCACGGACCTGGTGTCCCACATGACCCCGACCCACCTGATGCACCTACCCCAGGGAAGTAATGAACTGGGGGCCCACAAAATGGGGATGGGGAGAAGGCCTCTCCAGGGACAACTGCAAGGAACTTAAGACACCAGGGCAGTGGTGGCAGCGAGGCTGTGGCCCGTCTGGTGGCCAGGGCTGGTGGCATTGCAGGGCTGCTCAGGAAGAGTGGGGGTTCCCTCGCTGGGCCAGCTCTGCCCCATGTTCTTGGCTGGGGGCCTCAAATCCGGCTCTCCAGTCTATGCGGTGATCCCATACGCTGCCCAGTGTCCTTTTGACAGAGCTCTTCTCCGCCGAAGCCAGCGGAGCTGCTGTCTGAGAGGCAGCAGAGCCTGAGCTTGAGTCCTTGTTCTGTTACAAGTCAAGTCACTTAACTGCTTTGTGCCTCAGATCGTCCGTGTGGAACATGAGGATAATACTGTGTTGCTGTCATCAGACGGGTGTACGGATTAGATGAGTTTAAACAACAGCGCAAACCCGTGGAAGCCTGGCCATGGCGGTGCCAGCTCGGGCTGTGTAGAGAACACTAGAGGATACTCGGACACATGGGTGCTTAACTCGGTTCTGCCACGGACTGGCACGTGTGACTGTGCACAGGTTCCTTCCCTTCCCTTGGCCATTGCTGCGTCTGGAAATAGCTCTGGGTGAGACGAATCAAGGCTCAGACTCTGCCTCCCAAACTCACTCCCTGTAGCTGTTCGCCAACCCCACATTCTGAGACCCCTAAATGCCTCATCTCCACCCATGGTGCTCTCCTGGGCTCTCCACACCCCGCCTGGACATTTGCACACAGGTGCCCTTCTGTTCCTCAAAGCCAACCCATCCCCGACTGTGCTCCACAGGTGTCCCATGCGCCTGGTATCCTTCCTGGCTCCTCTTCCACCGAGTTGGGTCGGGTCAAGTTCAAATGTGCACAGCCGCACTTGCATCCCCGCCTTCCTTTGCTCCCAGCCTCCCTGCGCCTGGGCTGTGCAGCAGCCTCCTCACTGCTGCTCTCCTTCCAGGGGACCGGGCGTCCCCAAAGCTGAGTCCTCTGCTCACAATCTCACACCGCGGTGAAGCGCAGTGAAGCCTCCTTAACACCCTGCGTCATCTGACCTCCACCCTCTCTCCAGCTTCATTGGTTTTTTTCCCACTCCTTGTGCCCCGAACAACACTCACCTGTCTGAAGCACACAGCCCTCCCCATCTGCACACCTCTGCTCTCTTCCCACTCTGCCTGGAACGCCCCCCTATACCTATTATACACTCTGCTGCTAAAATCCCGCCTGTCCCCCAAAGTCCAGCTCAGAGGGTGACATCCTCCCTGATCCTCCAGGCTGGAGGCACGAGTTTTCTCTCTGTCCCTCTAAGCTCTCCTCGCCAACCTCGTCTCTTGTGGAGGCAGCACTGCCCCATGGTTGAGTGAGGGCTGTGGATTCTCCTGTCTGCACTGGGGCATGGGAGCTGATCAGAACCTCGAACAATACTCGTGTGTGTGCCTCAGTGTTCTCATCTGCACTATGGGCATAAAAGCAGTAAGTATCTCAGAGGGTGTGAGGACGACTGAGATTGTGGCTGCATGGCGCCATGGCTGCAAAGCTCCCCTGGTGGTAGCTGGCACCTGGAAAGTGACCGACACTTGACAGTTTTGTGACAGATTGTGATGGGCTGTGTTGAAAGATCACAAAGACTAATGCCCAAGCAGCTACTCCCCCCCGGGCAATTCCTGCCCTCTAAAGAATGAGGTTGCAATGGGAGGTTGGCTGTAGCATAACAAAATTGGAGCAGGAGGAGGAGCCAGACTCTTCTTCTTCTTCCTCCTCTTCCCCTAGGCTTCTCACGGGAGTCATTTTCCCCATGTCCTTCTCCCTAAAGGAAGGATCCCATTGAAAAGGCAAATGGAGAAGGAGGAAGCAGCATTGGCGAAGAAAGGGGAGGAAGGAAATCAATCTCAAACCTCACATTTCCATGGCCATTAGCAGCCTCTGCCCTTCCCACCTGGGCTGGCCTCAGCCCCAGGTACTGGTTAGCGGCAGCGCTCCCTGCCCAGGGTAGGCAGCACTTCCTTCCAGATGAAGAAAAGTGTTCATCAGATACCAGGGGTAACTGGCATGACATTTACCAGCCTCCGTGGTGCCCTGACATTTTTTCAGCTTCTCATTTGGCTTGATTGATACGAGTGGTCGGGCACGTGTGGCCCCCCTGCCTTTGGGAAGTCTTCCCTGTGCCCCTGTTCCCATCGTCCTCTTGCTTCCCGCAGCAGGGCATTTATCACTAGTTTTTTTGTCTGTGGCAATTGTGAAGGTCTAAGGACAGTGCCAGTGCAGTGGCTGGCACACAGTAGGTGTTCAGTAAATTGAATCATGCTGTGCTTAGCTGGGTTCTGCAGAGGAGACCCAGGCCCTGCCCCAGGCAGGGGTGGGTGTCCTGGCTGGCTCATGGGCTGTGGGCTGGGGGGTCTCCATCACCCCACTTCACCCTGGATGGTCCTTAATTCTGGGTCCCATCGGAATCAGGCACGCTGATCTCCACTGCCCCACCCCACACAGCTCACAGAACCCTAAAAATACAGTTGTAAAATGTCAGGACTCAGAAGGCGTAAGGAAGTCATTCCTTCTGCTTGCATACCTCCTGGCTGGGGACTTCGCTTCCTTCCAGGGAGACCTGTGAGCTGTCTTAATCGTGGAGAGGAAGCGTGTCCTCAGACTACGCAGAAACCTTCCTCAGTCCTACCTCCAGCAGCCCCTTCCCTTAGAAGCACCTCTGCTGCCGGGCTGGGCGGGGCAGTCTGCTCCCTGGGCCCACCAGAGGCCCCCTCCCCCCACGGGTGCAGCCAGGGGAGCGTGCTGGCATGAGACGCAGGCGCCGCTGTCTTGCCTTCCAGCCAGCTCTCACCGTCAAGGCCTCAGCCTCTGAGAGCTTGCACAGGCGTGCTGGTGCGCGTGTGTGCATGGGTGGTGGGGTGGAGCTGGGCTACCATTCGGACAGACACGCAGAGAAGGCTTGTTAGGATGTTTGCAGGACGAGGGGCTCAGATACAGGGGCTCTTAAGGTGCTCTGCTGGTGGGGCAGGGCTGGAGATGCGAGGGGGTTCAGGGCGGGCCAGTGGTTGCTGCACCCACAGCCTCTCACAGACCAAACGCCTGGCTCCCACCAGACCTTCCACAAAGCATAGACATAGGCGCCTGCACACACACGCGCACACACACGCACACACACAGAACCCGTACTGAACAACCCATCCTGGAGGCCGCCCTTTTCCCCAGAGAGTGCCAAGCCAGTGTGTGATTTGCCAGGAGGTGGGAAGGTGCCGGCTGCTCTCCCTGGGAGGTGGGGGTGGGGGTGGTCCTGCGTCAGACTCCAGTCATTACCTGGGGCGCAGAGGTAATGCCGCCCCAGGCCCCTGACTCACCGCCCAGCGGGCCAGCCCCAGGACATCCATCCGGTTCAGGAAGAGACAACACCCCAGACCCTCTGATTCCTCAGCGTCTGTGCCCCGCGGGCCCCTGCCCCAACACATGCGCGCACCCCATCTTTCCTGCTCTCCTCTCCTCTCCAGCAGTAAAGAGCCTGGTCTCCCTCGGGGTCTGGGGACAGAGCACATCTGCCTGAGCTGGGGTGGGGGCAGCATTGCCTAAACAAAGAGAGGAAGCCCTAACGGAACTTCAGGCACCCAGAGCACGCCCTGCAGGTTTGCCTTCAGAGGAGGAAGTATTTCCTTCTCCCCTTTCTGCGCTCCAACGGCAAGGAGCAGGGCGTGTGGGCAAATCGCTGCTTTACTGAGGTTATAGGCTATGTTCGGGGTAGGGGCAGAAGGCGCTTGCCCAGCATTATAAGGGGTCCTTAACGGCAGTGGCAGGCCGGTACCGTCTCTGACGCTGGGTCCGGAACCGGCCCTGCTCTCTAAACCGCCCTCCTGGGAGGCTGGCCGCGGGCGAGGGCGGGGGTAGGGGCACTCACGGGTCGTGTTGTATTTGATGCCGTTGAAGTACTCCGGGCACGGCCTCTCCACGAGGGCTCCGGCCGCGCTCTGGGGCCAGCACGTCCCGATCTGGTCCAAGGTTGTGTTGCAGTAGGAGTAGGGACCTGCCGACGGGAGAGAGCAGAGCAGGGCTCAGAGGGGTCGCTGGGGGCGTGGGGCGCCGCGGGACGAGGTGCGCGGGGCGCTCGGAGCGCGGGGTCGGGGCGCACAGAGTGCGCATGGGAAGGAGCCCCGGCCAGCGCTGTCCGCTGGCCTGCCGCCTACCCTCGGGGTCCGGGGGCGGCCCCCAGCCGTCCAGGAGCAGCTCCTCGGCCAGAGCCAGGCTGCAGTTGGCCTCCAGCAGGCTGTGGAGCAGTGCCGCGTCCATCGCGCCCGGAGCCGCGCGCGGAGAGGCAGTGGGAGTGCGCGCCCCGCGTGGCTGCGAGGGAGTGGCTGCGAGAGTGAGCGACCGGGACAGCCCGGGGTTCTGGCTCCTGCCGGCCCAGCCCCGACCTGCCGGGCAGCCTCCGGGCGCCGCGCCTGATCCCAGAGCTGCCAAGTCGGGACCTTCCCCGGGAGAAGCTGCGGAGCGCACGGAGCTGCGGGTCCACCCGCTCCGCCGCGGCCAATGGCGCCGCCAGGGGGCGGGGCCGGCGGCTCCACCGCGCGGGGCTCGGTCTCCAGCCTCCGGGCCCCCAGCCCTGCCCAGAGCCCGCCTGCTCAGGTCTCGGCTCTTTTCCACCCGCGAGGTCCAGAGGAGGGCGGCGGAGCTGGAGAGCGTGGGCCTGGGGTGACCGAGTGCCTGCCCCATCGGAGGATCGCATGCTCCCGGGCTGCAGGGGGCGGCCCAGAGCACCCACCCTCTGGCCTGCCCTGGGAACCCACAGCCGCCTCCCTAACCGAGGGACAGCTGCTAGTGAAAGTTGGGTCTCCCTGAGCGAGGACACTGGAGGGAGGCAGGGCACCAAGAGCCCACGGGCAGATGTGCGCACTTAGAAAAGCCCCTGTAGCCTCTAGAAGGAAAGGATTGGGAAGGCCACAGCAGAGTCTATGGAGGTCAAGTGGCCTGAATGGGCTGAAGACCTGCACCAGGCATGGGAGCTGGAATGGAGAGAGATTTCAAAGGGAAAACCAGACCGGTGAGGGGGTACTGGAGAGGGCGTGGTGGGTGGCTTTGAGCAGGAGCCAGGACGTAGGGCTAACACCAGGTCTCCCACTTGGGTGAGTGGCAAGTGGGGGAGTGGCATTGCCGTTTAAAGAAATGGGTGACGTTTGGGGGAGCAACTGGTTGAAAATATCTGGAAGACCTTTAAACACCCAGATCTTAGTGCCCTGGGCACCAGAAAGAATACAGTAAGAAATGAGAATGTGTGGCTCTTCTGCCAGGCTTGGGCAGGGCCACCTGATGCTGGTTTCCACTCCATTGAGGGGGGAGGGGAATCAGGCCCCACAGTAGGTGTGGAGGAGCTGAAAACCTTTACGGGGAGTTTGCTGAGGCTCCCTCAGGACCGCCCACTTGGTCATTTGTTGCAGCCGCTGCATTTGTTGCATTCTGAGGGCTGCACCCTCAGAATGCCCAGGGTGGGCCGCTGCCCATGCCTGCTGAGTGGGGGACTCAGGCTGGGATCTGGTCCTGCCTCTGTCTGTACTCTCCCTGCCATGTTACCCCTCTCTTCCGGGGCTTTCTCTGTCAATGCAATGTCCTCCACGGCCCCTCCCAGCTCCGACAGTCTCTGGCTCTGAGTTATGGATACAAAGCCTGGGGAGGACGTAGGCCTGTGTGTATGTTGTGAGTTTCTGTCTTTAGAGGGTGGGGGAGCTGGGACTTAGTCCCAGGAGCCAGTCCTGCTGCCCTGCCAGCCTCCACCGAAACCAAAGCTGCCAGGGACGGCTGAAACCACCCTGAACTAGCAGCATGCCCTGAGCAGGGAGAAGCGAAGAGGCAGGCCAGGCTGCCTTTGTGTGCTCCAATCTCTACAGCCTCCACATTAATGCTGCTGTCACTGCCCAGGCAAAGCAAGTGAGACAGCGAGCGAAAGAGTGAGAGAGCAGTAAGACCAGGGCTGAGCTCTGGAATCTCTCCAGGCAGGGCCTGCTGACTGGCAGGTATACGATACAGAGCAGCCAGGCAGGTCTGCCCTCTGCCTCCTGAATGGGCAGTGAGAGCCCCTGGCTCTGCCCTGGGCAGCTGCAGAGAGGCAGAGTCCCTTGGTCTTTATAATACCCAGCGCCAGAGCAGGGGAGGATAGGTTGAGTCCCAACCCCAGCCCTAGGCAGAGTCCTGCCCAGTAGGGTCCCACACAAGCCAGACTGTGGCTGGCTGGGTCAGCCCATGTCTTCACCGGGCAACGGGCTCCTTCACGTACCAAGGAGGGCCCTGCACATGCCTCGTCACAGCACAGGGAAAGGGAGAAATCAAGTTAAGTTATTAACTTTTCTCATTGCCAGAGTCACCGCCTAGGGCAGCGGTCCTCAACATTTTCGGCATCAGGGACCAGTTTCATGGAAGACAATTTTTCTACGGATGGGAAAAGGGGATAGGGGTGGAACCTGGAGGGGAGAGGGGAATGGGAGGCAGAGGGGGAGGGGGAGTGCGAGGTGGGTGGGGGAGGCAGAGCTCAGGCCCTGATGCCTGGCAGGCCCTGTTTTCCTAACAGGCCACGGACTGGTTCCAGGCCATGGCCGGGGGGTTGGGGACTGGAGGCCTAGGGGATGCAGCTATCTCAGAAGGTGGTGAGCACCTAGTGACTGGAGGCCAAGAACTTGTCATCTCACATCCAGAGCTCTGGAGAGCAAAGGGTTGGCCCGGGAGGCCTGGATTGCTTTTAGTTGGGAGAACACGTAACGGAGGTTTTTCTGGGAAGTGACCATTTTGGTGGCAGAGCCCAAAGGCCATTCTGTATCCCAAATGGTCAGTTGGGGCCTGAGTACAGATCCACAGACCCAAGGCCCCCTGGTTTCCAGGATGTGGGGCCATTTCTTCATGGCTCTTCTTATTATAGGCACAGTTGTCTGTTATTCTAGACGTGATGGAGGGGAAACTGGGAAAGGTAGCCGTTTTGGAACAAATTGATTTTACAGCTCACTTTAATGTTTGCAAAAAGGTAAATGAGGAAGAAATTGGGAAGCACCAAAACTTTCCTCAATTAGATTAAATCCAACTACAAATAAACAAGATGGGCCTTTTTGCTAACTAAAGAGGCAGAGGTAGATGGGAGACCCCAGACACCAAGGTTGCTGGATTTTCCATTGTCTTCTCTACCAGCCTTTGACTCCCTGGGGACAGGGCCAGTCCTGCTCACTAACCTGTCCTCAGCACCCACTGGAATGCTCTAGGCTTGGGCTCAGCTAATCACTATGAATGAACAAATGCTTTGGCAGCAGGGCTGGGGAAATCCAGGTCCCTGCTTCTTGTGCCAAGGCTCTCTTGCCACTTGCCCAGCCCTGGTGTGTGTGCGTGTGTGTGTGCGTGTGTGTGTGTGTGTGTGTGTGTGTGTTGGACTGGAGAGTTATTTCAAGGGGTCTCCCATTCCGATCCTTATATTGTCTAAGGATAGAATCAATGGCATGCCTCACTATGTATGCCCTGTTATTTCTCAAATGTATGTAAAGAGGCTCTGTGATGAATAAGGTAGAAATAGTCTATTTAAAGCCTGCCTGAAGTCATAATTGCTCTCACGATTGTGTGTATTTTTCCCTTTATTTGGACCTCAGGGGCACACAACTGAATTGATCATCGTCTTTGATTCATAACCCTTTGTCATCATTAGCTCATGCATGGCCTAACTTTGTTTTATTTTAGTCTTTTCTTTTACAGAAGTTTGTCTGCAGTAGTAAAAGTAATTTACCACTCAATCGGAAACTAGATCATTACTAATCACTTATGTATTTATTTCTATACTCCTTCCCCAGAGGGAATATCCCCTTGCATATTACATTTGTCATTATCTTGCTCTTATTTTAAGTTTTTCATAGGTATGAATATCTAAACAATTAGTGTTTAGCTTTATTTGGCTTTGAATTTTATGCTAGTCATTATGCACTTTCTCAATCAGGGGACACTAAAAAGGAGATACTACCACGTGGGGACTTGAGAAACGATTTCTGCAGGCCACAGGGCTTCCTGACAGCCTCTGCGTCCACCTAGGGGGGCCTGGTTAATGAAGGATGATGCGTCCCCACGGTGGCTGCTAGGCACCGTCACCAGCCATGTGGGGGATGAGCATTTAATGACACGAGGAAATGTTCACACTGAGTCTTAAGAGGAGAAAGCGGGTTACAAAACTGTGGACACAGTGTCATCCTAGTTTGATAAAAAAAAAAAATAAAAAAAAAACAACCAACCATGAGGCTCAATGGATCCATAAACTCCTGGGCGATATAAGATATTATAAAAATTTCTGGGTTGTAGCAGAATGAGCACTTATTGTCTTCTTTGCTTTAAAAATTTTTTTCCCCAAAATTTTATATAAATCATACAGATCCCTTTTGTAAACAGATGCATGCTATTAGAAGTTGTGTTTGGAGAAGTTGGGACCCTATCCGATAGACCCAGAGGTGGGGGGGAGGGAGTGCCATCTGCCAGGAAACAGGGCAGGGTCTGTGCTGGCTGCTAGAGGGCAGGGGAGAGGAGGGCAGGGAGGAGGCAGGGGGTCTGCTGATGAGCAGGGTTGCCGCTGAGGGCAGACAGTCTGGTGGGGGGCGGGGCGGGTCTGTGCTGGGGGTCCCTGTGGTCTCTTGTTCAAAGCTTCACAGTGAGCCTTCCGGGTAGACTTAGACCCATTTTTAACAGATGAGGAAACTGTGTCAGATGGTGTTATGGGCTGAACTTTGTCCCCCTACAATTCATGCACTGAAGTCCTAACCCCCAATATCTCAGAATGTGGCCTAACAAAATTAAGGTAATTGGGTTAGTGGGCCCTGATCCAGTAAGTGTCTTTCTAAGAAGAGGAGATCAGGACACACCCAGAGAGAAGACGGCCACCTGCAAGCCCAGGAGAGAGGCCTCAGAAGGAACCAATCCTGCTGACACTTGGATCTTGCACTTAAAGCCTCCAAGATGGTGAGAAAATAAATTCCTGTGGTTTAAGCCACACAGTCTATGGTACTTAGTTACAGCAGCCCCAGGAAACTAACACTGATGGGTTAGGTGACTCATCCAGGGTCACACGGCTCCTAGGTAGAGGAGTTGGGGTCCAGACTGGGGTCCCTGGGACCCCAGCCCCTGAGCTTCGGCCCCACCACAAGGGGCAGCAGAGGCTTTCTCTCCAGAGCCTGACTCAGGGGCGGCTGGATACCAGCACCCTTACCTCCTGGTACCCCAGCAGCGGCCCCAGGCACCAGCGAGGGTTCCTTTCCATACTCCCCACTCCCCACCTGCACCCCCCAGGTGGATGCGGACCTGGGGAGGCCAGGACACTGGGTGGGGCCCTGGAGACCTCTCTCTGCAGTCCCTGAGAGTCTCGGGCTCTGGGCAGCTCTGCACAGCTGCCTCTGACTCTGTGCACCAGCTGCAGGGAAACGGACAGTCAGGGCTGGGCTTTGCAGGTCCTTCTCTGGAAGTGACACCTGTAGCCACGGCAACCGGAGACTGTTTTACACCTTCTGCTGGCCTCCCCAAGTTT